GTTACTTTTTTTTTAAAAAGGGGATTGATTGGCCTTGCAAGTTGTCTGCAGCCGAGCGTCTGTGCTGGAAGTCTACTCCTAGTGGAGCACCTTCACTTTGGAGTTTTTGGAGGGATTTATTGTAATTACTTAATTTCTCTCCTCTGAGAAGTTGCACAGGTCAATTTCAAGTTGAATCGGTATCATTTCATCCCTTTCACGACAGTCTCCTAGAAGAACACCAGGCAAGCACTTTGCTATTGGCTTCACCTAGCCAGGAAATGCACTTACCATCTAAATAACTATAGTGACCATACCAAAGTGAATAGCAAAGATCTATCTGTGGCTTTTGTAATAATTCAACTTTAGTAACATTCCAACTACGTGAAAAGTCAAGGTCTTTGGAGACAGAAAAAGGGCATGCGTTTTTCTCTTCTTTGTAACTATTTGCACAACATAGAATAAATGTTAACCACGAGCATACACTAGACCGGGCCTTCCCACCTGAAGATTCCTCCCTTAGCTGATGCTTAATTTGGCCTTCTCTTTATTTGACTGCTGAATAAATTTAACAAATCCATTGCCATCACAGGGTCACAGTGAGAGAAATACAAAAGTGAAAAGGTCTTGAAACCTTTGACCTGAATGTGTGTCCTATTGTGCTTATGTAGAAAACCCCCAACTTTGAGAAGTTGAGACACTGAGTTATTACTGGCTAAGCAGCGAGGGCTCATCATTCTAAGACTCTCTGAAATGTATTCCCACAAATAAAAAGTGCTTTTCTATTCTATAGATATCACCTCACATTTCTCCCCCAAGGTTAGTTTGATCATCATAAATGGCCAGTCCAAATCCTCAACATTTATACTGAGTCCTGTCCTCAAAGGAAAGGTAGTAGGGTGAATGAAGCCGAATCCACGATGACTTTAATTATCAGTGAAATTAAAGTCCTAGGCCTTCTTGGCTGATGTATTTTATTTGATCTTGTTTTGACTTTTACGTTCTTTTAGTAGCTGGTCAATCGGCGCACAATAACAGTATATTGCCCAGTCGGCCCCAGCTGCCATATCTCATTCTTTTTCTCATAACTAACTTAGCAAGTGATGGTTCTTATTCTAGAAAGGATCAAGAAAGAAAGGCAAATATGCAAAAAATAGATAATGCTCTCCTAGCTTAGTTGTTGCTGAAAGCGACTCATAAATCTCCCCTCTTGGAGGATAATTTGTACAGAAGATTTGAGTTAGAAATGCGCACTGCCCGAGGAGAGTCTAGGAAGGCTTGCCTGGATAAATGTTTCCCCCTACCCCCAAAGAAAGACCCTCTCAAGGTGTCGTTGACGTTCACAGCTCCATTCCCCAGCTGTCTCCTGAACTTGCCCGCAAATCGCCCCTCACTCAACCTTTAAGGGGCTTTGCACATACATTCTCTGAATGATGGGTAAAAATTGGCCACAAGAGGGCGCATTCCAAAGAGTTTTGCTGTGTGGCACAAAATCTGGGAAAGGCGATGGTGCCTATTCCCAGCCCCACTCTGCAGCTCCCTACCCTTAGTGGTGATCACTTACTTCCTGCTCGCCCCCCCATCCTTCTCAAAAGTTAGGATTTTTATGGGATGTGAGACCCAGGAGCACTTGCAATACATAAGAAGGAAGGCGAGGAAGCAGGGAGCGTGGATGAGGATCTACGCAAACATTCCAGAGTTCTATGGAAGGGAGAGGGGTGAAATTTCAAAATCAAACAAAGCAGCGAAATGTGACTGTGAATCATCAGAAATACAGATTTGAGTGTCTCCATATTACGATTGCCTGGGTTTAAAAACATAATAAAAACAACCAAAACCACCCCATCTTCCATCTCCCTTGATTCTGTTGTGTAGTTTGCCTGCCTTATCAACACATTTCCCCAGTGACACAATGACAAATGACTTTGAACAAGGAGAATTTCTTTCTTTCTTTTTTTTTTTAAAGGCTATGTGTTTAATGCTTGGTAGGAGCGTGGAGTTCGGCTATGGAGGGTGGGTTGTTTCTAAAGATAGGATGTGGAGAGAAATAGTGCAGGAGGGAAGATGGAGAAAGAGACTGCTAGGTTTTTGTTATTATTATTATCATCATCATTATGAAAGAAGCATGTATACTGTCATGGAGTTGGTGGATATATCAGGGTAGAAATGCCATTTTCATGTTTGAAGAACTGGAGTTCTATCTTCCCAGGCACTTCGCATAAAAAAATACATATTTATCTTGGCTCCTCTTCTGCTTAAAAAAAAATTACTGGAGCCTGCTCTCATAGCTATAGTTCAGAAATTTTCATACTAGACTGATTCCTAGCTAGGTCTCAAATCAAAAGTGTAAAAGTTCTCAGGAACTTTCAAGAAATCTGTGAAATCCTGTGGGGTGGGTCTTGCTTGAGAAATGATTCTATATTTTTGTTTGTTTGTTGAAGTTGAGACCCTTCCCCCCCCCAATAATTAACCTTTTTAATCAAAAGAGGTGTGGGTAAAGCATGTAGCTGGACCTTTACAAAAATTCAATAATGGATCCAATAATGGATCCTAAAGAGAGGTTTTAAGGCTAAATATTTTAAAAAGAAAAATAACTAAAATAATTTTTATAATGCAAGCTGTAGTTCTACTGTGAGCAAGATCCTTTACTGTAGGTTGGTATTATTAAAGACCTGCCTTGCTACATTTTGCAGAAGCTTCTGGAAGCTGCTCTCTCTGTCTCTCTCTGTCTGTCTCTGTCTCTCTGTCTCTGTCTCTCTCTCTCACACACCACACACTCACACAGTGCATGGCAGTGTTTGCTGCCACCATTGACTGTATCATCATGATGGCGGATGGAGAATTAAAGTCACAGATGCATTTTTACAGCAAGGCTTCCTGCCCCCCTCTGCTTCTGTAGTAAGCTTAAGCGTACAGCCTAACTTTCCACATTGACAAAGAGCCATAGTTATGACGTATATAGATAGCAAAGGACAGCTTGCTTTTACCAGGACCCTGGCAAGAAAAACTCAACCCAATCAAATCAAAACACTGTACAAGAGCATTGCTAATTTCACTAGGGGGAGAGAGAGAGAAAGAGAAAGAGAGAGAGGGGAGGAAGGGAGGGAGAGAGGGGAGAGGTGGGGGGGGGGAGATCTGTCTATACCAGAAAATCTGAAATACTGATCTTTGGGGTGTTGAGTAGCATTTGCATCTTAATGTAGGGGATGAGAGCTTCTGGGGGCTTGGCTGCTTAACCCTTGGCATATCTTACAAGATTGAGTTCTGAAAAAAGTCTGAAAGCAAAAGAAAATGACCTTTCTTTCCAGCTTGGACAACCTTCCCTCCGTCCAAGGCTCCCACTAGAGAACATTGCAAATATATCCCCCCTCAAAGTCCCAAATCTATTCCTCTCTCTCTCTCTCTCTCTCTTTAAATTTTGTATTTCTTGGTACCATTTCTCTCTCTCTCTGGTGTGAGTCCACTGGACTCACAGGGGTTTAGGTGATGCATGCACTATTATCACCCAGGTGGGTGCGCGTGGGATTGTCTGAGTCAATTACTCAGGCAGAGCAGGCTGTGATACACGTCTTGCTCATGGAAAGCCTTGAGCAAGGGGGCAGAGGAACCTTAAGAAGGAAAAAAAAATAGCCAAGGGGTAAAAAGAATATCATCAGAGACTAACTAGGTAATGGAAGGTTTGGGAAGAAAGCAGTGCTGTCTGCGTAGCTCAAAACCCTAGTCCACACCAGTGCCCACTGTGATCCTTCTTGCTCTTGCAGAATTCTGGGAAGAATTCCATGTCAGGATTTCAGAGCACTTGATATTGAAATCAAATCTGAGACAGATTAGAAATTGATCCTGAACCTCTTCCATTTTGCAAATGGAGATACCTGGAGAGCCCCAGCATGGGGGTACCCTGACAATAATATTGCGGTGTGCCATTCCCAGGGCAGAGAATCAATGGACTAGTTATTATTAGATTTTTTTTTTAATCTCCAGGAAAGTTGAAGATTGTAATATATTTCTGAAACCGACAGCCCTGATAATCACTATTTCCATGGTAGCTTTCACCCACCTCGTTCTCCCCACCCACGTCTACGATGAAAGAAAATACAGATAGATATGCACTGCTTAAATAAGAATACAATAGAACTTGTAAATAAAATGTACCTGCACATGAGGTAGACATTAGGAAGACTTGAATCTTTCTCTTACCCCTGTCCTTCTGAGCAGTAAGGCAACAGCACTTTCGTGAAAGTGGATCTCAGTTTTATCCCCCCCCCACCCCCTGATAAAATATCATGCAATGTACAAACAGCAGTTCCAGAAATGGACAGCGAGAGAGAAGGAGGCGACAGGAATGTCAATTAGCAAGGGGAAAATCCAAATGTCAGAAATATGGGGGAGAGAGAAAGCAGGCAGGCACAATGAACTGGCTTTTGGTCCAGATCATTACAGAGATGCGTACATCAGACTCGGGACTGGCCCACAACACACCGGTCATGCCAGCCCATTAATGACCAGCCAGACCAGCCTGAGAGTCGTTTTCGGATGACTCTCTGATCCTAATGTAACAGCACCTGACAGCTTGAGTCCCCTCTAATGAGTGCTGTTTTTGTACAATCCTCTGTCAGGAACACTAAATCATTTGCCTCCGAGTACAGCTGCTGGTGGAGAAGGGGTGGGGTTAGAGCTCGCATTAGAATCCTGGGAAATGAGGGGCTGGCAGTTGTGCAGGCTGTGGGACTGCGGCCCAGGACTTCCACCTTGCTGGTCCTCCAGTAGCTGTTTGCATGCAGAGTGTTACTTGTTCTAGGCATAGTTCTCCCATGAATCCTCCCTCATTCCCACCCTGAACTCTGGGTGTATTCCTGGGGAGTTCCTTAGTGTGTTCCCCTTCCTCAACCCCCTGTTAGACACTGGGAGGTGCAGTGCCTGTATTCCTTCCCCATGTGAGCACGTTCAGGTGCTCTTTCTTAGAAAAGCAAAACCCAACCCTGCACCCTCTGGCTTTTCAAAATCAGCAGCCACTCTGGCTCAGTCTGCAGAGTGACACCTTGTGTGGTGGTTTTAGTGCTTCCAAGTTGTTATGCTTAGATACAGAAGGAAATATGGGGATAGCTTGCTCTCGATAGCCAGGATAGGGCAGGGCAAGGGCACGAGCAAGGGCCAGGGCAAGGGCAAAGGTGCCCCTTTGGGATGTGACCCCACTACAGACTCCTTCAGGCCTGTGGCCTAGGTTGGAAACTGATCTTTCACCTTTCCCTTTGGCCTCCACCTTCTGGATCCCAGCACCTTTAAAATCTGCCGCTGGCTGCCATCTTAGATAGAATGATGACATTCTGCCAGAATCTTTCCCTTTGTTAAAAATAAGCAAACAGACATAAACAAACAACAAAACAAAAAGTCCTCCGTTTCTTATCAAAAGGCATTGTGGGACTCACTTTGTTCAAAGTCATCCTGTTTCTTAACAGGAGGATGCTTTCCTCACTCCCTACCCCCTCTCTGATTTCTATGAAATCATAAACTCCTCTCGATTATACAGTTCAACTCTGGCCTGAGTCCCGAGGTGAGGCCAGAGTAGGAAACGCTCCCAGACACCATGGCTGTCATGGTGGCAGGCCTATAGGGCAATGCCAGGGACCCCGTGGGCCCACATGCCACCCTCTTGGTCCTGGTCTTTGTGGATCCACTACTATCACCATCATAGTGTGCGGAGTGTGTTAAATTAAGAACAGAATCGACAGTGCGCCATGCACAGGAAAGCCTGCCTTCTGCTGCAGAGAACTTGAAACTGTGCCTAAAATTTATAGTACCGTAAACATCCCAGGGCCTCCAGATACGTGCGGCTGGATTTCCGTCAGCTATAGACATCCAAGCAAGGACATTCTCCCGGGGAGCGGGGTGTCCAAGATGGACATCTTAAAGATTGTTCTCAGATTTGTACCTAGGATCTGTGATTAGCAGACTCCCTGTTAAGTTTGAGACACTATACCCAGGATCTATGACTAGCAGACCCCCTGTAAGTACTAGGCACAGTGCCCAGGATCTGTGAGTAGGCACAGAACCTGGAGTCTGTGACTAGCAGACACCCTGTAAGTACTAGTCATAGTACCCAGGATCTGTGACTTGCACCTGTAAGTACAAGGTCTAGAGTAAGGTGAAAAAGGACTTGTTTCTTTGTATCTTCAAGTACTAGCCAGACAGATGGAAAATATTTGATGAATTAAGAATTCTAGTCTGGGCTGGGTGCCTGTTATCCTAGCTATCCAGGAGGCTGAGATCTGAGGATCCTGGTTCCAAGCCACTGGGGGCAGAAAAATGTGTGAGACTCTTATTTCTAACTAACTAGCAAAAGTCCAGAAGTGAAGGAGTGGCTCAAGTGGTAGAGCACCAAGCTTTGCGCAAGAAAGCTAAGCAAAAGCATGAGGCCCCGAGTTAAGGCCTACTACTCACCTTGCCTGGCCCATAGCTACCTGCTTCTGATAGTAAAGGATGCTGCACATTAAATATATAAGTGCTCACTATGAAAAGAGAAAGAGGCAGCTTTCTAAAGTTAGGCTTAGATAGAACCGGGGTGGTGCCTGTACCAAAGCAGAAACTTCCCCACCTATGTTAGGTGAGAAGCTGTTGCTATTTGAGATAGTTTTGAGCTCACCTGGTATGCTCTAAAGATAGAAAAGCCAAAAATGAGGGGATTATGAGGTAGGGGGTGGCTCTCTTAATTAAATATAACTCCATGCAAAGGCTGCCTCCATTTTGCAAACAGTAATCAAAGCAATTACCTACTCCGTGTTAATCACTGAATTATGTCAGGGAAACAGCCAAAGACTTCAGACTTCCAGTATCCGAATCTGGGGATCGTCAGAGAGGAAATAGAAGGGATGGCTTTGAGAGGAAGCGTGGTCCGTATTTGAGGTCAGCGCTATGAAAGGTGTGTGGCAGGATCTTCTAGGTAGCGGGGAATGGTAGGTGTTCCTCTGTCTCCCCTGCAGGTGAGAGGCAGGGCTACCCAAGAGCCAGAGTGGAGTTGAATGCAAGCACAGTTCTGGCAGAGCCCCCAGTTGGGGCAGCTCTGGGCACAGAGAGGCAGCAAGGGGCGTGTCTCCTGATCCCACTCCTATTGGGGGGAAAGTATCCTTTAGCTGCTCAGTGGATGACTGGAGGAAGACCACCTTGTGGGAAGTTACGGAGGGCAAGTGTGACAGGAGAGAGGCCAGACTGTGATGGGGTAGAGCAGAGCAGCCCACAAGGAAGTACAGGATAGGATATTTCCAAAACCTGCAGGAGTTTACAGGAAGTTTTTTCACATAGAGGAAGGTGAGCCATTCTTGTTATTTTATAGAAAATAAAACAGAGGCAAAGAAGAAATCAGTCAACAGACATGAACCCCTGCCAACCTCTCTTTCCCCCTCTCCCCACAAACAAAGGCCTGCAAATGTTGTTTGTACAGGTCAGAGAAGAAAGAAATACTTTATGCTTCATAGTTCTCTTTTGGAACCGCTCGATTCTGTGGTTCAAATGCAGGCATATAAAAAAAAAATAGAGCATAGCTGTGTCCCAAAGACACTTTCTGTACAGCCACTGAAGTCTGAATTGGAGAGAGCTTTCATGGGTCAGAAATGATTCCTTTTTGAGCATCTAACAATGTCACAACTGGCCGGACAGGGATGGCCACATCCAGTGAGCTTCGGCCTCTCAGGGATGTGATTTGCTGAGGCTCACTTAAGGTGTTGGTACCAGAGGTTCTTGCTTGCCTGGAATTAGTGAGGTGATGGGAACACAAACAAATAAACCAAACAAACACAGTCCTCTGCCATTAACAGACGGCCCTGCGTTCTCTTCTGCTGTGTTATCTCTCTAGGCACAGCCCGCAAGACGCTGCACTTTGAGATCTCCAAGGAAGGCAGCGACCTGTCGGTGGTGGAACGGGCTGAGATCTGGCTCTTCCTGAAAGTCCCCAAGGCCAACAGGACCAGGACCAAAGTCACCATCCGCCTGTTTCAGCAGCAGAAACGCCCGCTGGGCAGCGTGGACGCGGGCGATGAGGCCGAGGAGGTGGGCTTCAAGGGGGAGCGCAGTGAACTCCTGCTGTCGGAGAAGGTGGTGGACGCTCGCAAGAGCACCTGGCACATTTTCCCGGTGTCCAGCAGCATCCAGCGTTTGCTGGACCAGGGTAAGAGCTCCCTAGACGTGCGGATTGCCTGCGAGCAGTGCCAGGAGAGCGGCGCCAGCCTGGTGCTCCTGGGCAAAAAGAAGAAGAAGGAGGAGGACGGAGAGGGGAAGAGGAAGGACGGAGGAGGAGGCGAGGGCGGCCCCGAGGAGGAGAAGGAGCAATCGCACAGGCCCTTCCTCATGCTGCAGGCCCGCCAGTCGGAAGACCACCCGCACCGCCGGCGCCGTCGGGGTCTGGAGTGCGATGGGAAGGTCAACATCTGCTGCAAGAAGCAGTTCTTCGTCAGCTTCAAGGACATCGGCTGGAACGACTGGATTATCGCGCCCTCGGGCTACCACGCCAACTACTGCGAGGGCGAGTGCCCCAGCCACATCGCGGGCACCTCGGGCTCCTCGCTGTCCTTCCACTCCACGGTCATCAACCATTACCGCATGCGGGGCCACAGCCCCTTCGCCAACCTCAAATCGTGCTGCGTGCCCACCAAGCTGAGACCCATGTCCATGCTCTACTACGACGACGGGCAGAACATCATCAAAAAGGACATCCAGAACATGATCGTGGAGGAGTGCGGTTGCTCCTAGCTTCCACAAGCAGCCCGGCCTGGCCTGGGGAGGGGGAAGAGGGAGCCAGAGGTGTCCAGAGAAGACAGTGGCAAACATGAAGACATGTTTAAGGTTTCTGAGTTAAACAACCAGGAAAAAAAAAATAGAATGATAATAAAAATCAACAACAAAACCCACCACCACCAACCACAAAAAAAGACCCCAACAGCTACAATAAAAACCCACAAAAGAGCATAAACTAAAAAAACAAAAAAAACAAAATCTGATGAAACAGATGAAGGAAGATATGGGGGGGGGGGGGGGGGAAATTCCGTAGCCCAGGGCTCAGAGATGAATGAAGGAGACAGGGATTGGGAGGGAAATGGAGAATTTGTGTACCTTTCATTTCTTCCAAAATCAAACTGATGACATCAGTTGCTTAAATGGGGTATTGTCCTCTCCTCCCCCCTCCTCACCCCTGCATTTCCCTTGTGAGCCTCTAAATCTTGTCTAGTCTGCAGTAGTGCAGCCTGGCGTAACCCAAATCACGTCTAGAAAGCCATGAGTTTGAAAGGGCCAGTCCCACCCAATTACCCAGGTCATAGGTGTGTCTGTGGGACGCGATCTGTGTGTAAATCAGCATACACACACACACACACACACACACACACACACACATTCTGATCAAACAACACAATGCAGCAACACTTTCTTTTTTTTCTGCACCATTTTACAAGACAAAAAGAAACAACAACAACAACAACAAAACCAACATAGAAAATGAAAATTGAGACCAAGAATGAGAAGAGTAAAAAGATCAAAGACAAAAACAAACAAAAGAATACCAAGTACATTTCGTTAAGGTGCTTATGATCTTAGAACTATGCAACCTAATAGGTTTGAAACTGTTTACCTGAGAGAGAACAAAAAAGAGAGACTTTTTTTGTATTGGAAGTAACCTGATTAATTTTTATTTTCTTCAAGGAGAGATACTTGAAAGGAATATGTTTGTCCATCTGTTGGATCCAAACATTTCTATATTTTGTAAATGTCGTTTTTTTTTAATCGTTTACCTATTTGCACTACAATGGTGTTTGACCTGTCTAATCCTTATTTAACAAGTATTTTCTTTGGGGGGGGTGAGGGGGGGGTGTTAAGAGCTGCACTTCATGTGAGCTTAAAAGAACTGCTACAGCACACAAAATAGCTATTTTTATTATTATAATTATAATTATTATTATTATTTTGTACCTTTAAAAAATAGACACATACACCAAAGACATTTGTGTGAGCCTTTAAAGAGTCTGTCTGTGGTTGGATACATTCTCCATGAAGGAGTCAGGGGTGGAGGCCGGAGGTTGAGGAGGTCGAAGGTGTTCAGGCTTCAGAGACTTTTGAGAAGTTTGGGGTGTTGACTGTCCTTACATCCACGGAAGAGGACATTTCATACTGGATGTACAGTAGTTGTACACTGTGGGATATCCAGTTCCATCAAGGTCCTGAGACTACATGCTTGTATGTGTATATATACATTGCATTTGCATTCCTGGGTGTATATATACATGTATTGTACCATGTCCATACACATTTTAAGCACTTCAGGCTGTCTTTTTTTTTTTTTTTAAATGTTCTTAAAGCAATGAATGTTTGTGTGCAAAACACAGTATTTTTAAGAAGGATAGATGATAGTGTTATTTTATTTTCTTTTTCCTTTTTTTTTTTCTTGTTTTGCTTTTACTCGCAATTAGGTGGGCACATTTCAAAAATTCAGATGGGAAAAAAAGCCTGAAAATTTCCAGAGACTACTCAGCAAGGCCCTCTGTAAATATACAGGGATCAAATGTTCTCCTCCTCTTTCTTGCTACCCTTCCTGCACCCCCCCATGGGGAACGGTTATCCCCTGTGGGGAAAACAGGATGTTAATTAAAATTATGGGCTGATTTTTTTCAATTTATATTTATTAATTAATTGGAATCAATCTTAAATCAGAAACTTTTTTCCGGAAAAAAAGAAGATAATATTTATGCAAGAATAACAGATGATAACTTTTTCTTTTTCCTTTTTAGTGGCTAAGGCCACGGATTGTAAGAGATGTCACTTATATACCTGCTGGGCTAAGAAATGTTGTTACTGCTTAAAAAAAAATCAGAAGGCAAGTGTGGAAGACTTTGAGAGTCAATGAAGGGAACCAAGGCAGGAGTGGGTAGTTGTACAAATCTCTAATAGTTTAATTTACAGCCAAAACTCTTGATGTCTGAGTTTGTATGTATTATGCATATCTGAAAAGGAAAGAAACTCCCTTCTCCTATAAGTATAAAAATCAATGCTTAAAGCTAAGTTTCTAATTTATTCCAGTATTTTGCTTGCATAGAGCAGCTAAGTTATTCATTTATGTGCTATTTAAAATACAGAGCCTTATTTTTATTGACTTGTTGGAAGTGGAAAAATCTTAAAAAGGAAAAGCTTTAAAAAATTCTAATTGAGAAATTTAGAAATATCACATTCACCAGTGTTTTCTAAAATATTGATGATTTTAGCCATATGTCAATGCATAGATTTTTTTTTAATGTCATTGTGGGAAAATGAACTGTATGAAATTAAATATTACAAAAGATTGTTTAGTTTTTCTTAAAAATTATACTAAGTCAGTGTAGTATGTAACATTAGGCTGTGTGCAGACTGACACACTACTGGGCAAATCTACTTATTATATTCTAGGGGCCTGCCCTGTCTTACACAAGAAATATAACATGAACTCCATGACATGCACACACCTGGGTTGTAATTATGGCCCATCCATCTTAGCTGAGAGGGATTGATCTCCAACTTTGCCAGTTTTTATGGGAAATCTGAGGATTCCTTGCTGGTTCTTTGGGACTGAATTCAGAATACTGGAATCTTTGGAACTAGTGTGAGGACAGAACTCTCTGCCGCAGCAGTGATCCTCAGGGCCACGGGCATTCACCAAAACAGCTAAGTGTAGATCTCATTCATCTCAAAGAAATCTGCCATCTTTTGAAGCCTGTTAAGTCTTAAATGTATTGGGGGTGTGGGGTAGATGGGTAGATGGGTTTGATTAGTGACTGTCATAATTGAAAACAGTGAAATCAATTCCATATGACAGTATTTCAATTGGATATTAAATGATCTCGTGGCTGCACAGGCACAAACTTAAACTTATTACATTAAGTTTATATGGCCCCTCAATAAATTTATAAATTGTCACTGTCTTCAATAATAGTGGGGGTGTTACCTTCCATCTTGAACAACCTCAGAAGATGGCAGGCTTTTGCAACGGTCATTGTTTGTGCATAGCTGCAAAAGGCACAATAGAAAAAGCTCTTAAATTCTCCCATCTGGGATTCTTCTTAGTGTGTTTAACCTGATAAGAGGGTGGTTCAATCTGATCTGCTGTTCACTGTTTCTCTGGGGCTGATCTGCAGGCTTTTAAATATCTGCCCACATGAATTCTAGAAGCTTCAAAAAGCACTTGTCCTCAATGTCTCTTAGAGACTAAGAAACATTTTGTATTCTAAATTGACTCCTCTTCCTCCTCCTCCTTCTTTCCTCTCCTCCTCCCTCCCTCTCTCTCTCTCCTTCCTTCTCCTTCTCCTCTCCCCTCCCCCCCTCCCCTCTCTCCCCCCTCCTCCTCCTCTTTCTTTCTTCTTCTTCCAAAAAAGTAAGGTCAACTCCACTAAGTTGGGATTTTCTTGTCCTAGAAGACCCAGTCAAGTCCATGCTCATTTAAGATTGATTCCACACTCCATTGTTAAGGACAATCCTCGCATTCTCCTCAAAGGAAATGCAAGTAAATTTGTTTCACCCTTGTGGGATTGAACGTCAAGAGGGGACTCTAAAACACACACACACACACAACAAAGCAAAACAAAATCCAACCAATGAATATTCCTCAGTTGCATTAAACAGAGATTCAAATTATCATGTTCACTTGAAAATATGACTTCCTGTGGGTCTCTTGGCAACTTCCCTCTTCAATATAGAGAACAGCTTAGTCACCCTGAAAACCTACATAATAAATGAAACTTGTGGATGTGGGCAGAAGTTTGGGGGTGGACATTGTACGTGTTTAAATTAAACCCTGTATCACTAAGAAGCTATTGTATGGGTCAGAGAAAATGAATGCTTAGAAACTATTCAAATCTTCTCGAGCAGGAGCAAACCACATGTCTCCGCTGTATTATTATTTATTTTTATGCATAAAGTGAATCATTTCTTCTGTATTAATTTTCTATGGGTTTTACCCTTTATTTAAAATGCTTTTGAAAAACAGTGCATTGACAATGGGTTGATATTTTTCTTTAAAAGAAAAAATATAGTTATGAAAGCCAAGAGAATCTGAAGCCTGTTTTTGTTTTAGAAACCTTTTATGTTCTGTGGTTGATGTTGTTTGTTTGTTTGTTTTTATTTTTATTTTGTGGTTTTTATTTTTGCATACTATATGCAGTTCCTTAACCAATGTCTGTTTGGCTAATGTAATTAAAGTTGTTAATTTATATGAGTGCATTTCAACTATGTCAATGGTTTCTTAATATTTATTGTGTAGAAGTACTGGTAATTTTTTATTTACAATATGTTTAAAGAGATAACAGTTTGATATGTTTTCATGTGTTTATAGCAGAAGTTATTTATTTCTATGGCATTCCAGCGGATATTTTGGTGTTGGCAAGGCATGCAGTCAATATTTTGTACAGTTAGTGGACAGTATTCAGCATCGCCTGATAGCTTCTTTGGCCTTATGTTAAATAAAAAAAAGACCTGTTTGGGATCTATTTTTTATTATTTTTATTTTTGCTTTATGTCTTCCTCATTGATTTTACAATCAACTTTGCACACAATCAACTTTGCTGCATCCTTTGCTGGGTGATATTCTCATTTCTACTGTAATTATCCAGGAGATGATTAGAAACAAGCAAAATGGTATAGAGGAGAAAATCTGGTACAAGGGACCTCAAACAGAAGAATCTATATTTCCTTGAAGAGACCATGCAGAGGCCAGAACTGTTACCTTTGATTCATTT